TGTATTGAGTACAAATCAGGATAGAAGTGACCAAAAGATAAATTAAAAATTACACTCAGTAAGATTTTATATAAAATAAAACACACATACCCCACTCTTAAGTGTTAGTATGGCTCCGATTTGACAGCTTTTTGAAGTTTATTAAAAATAACTATTTGCACTTAGCTCTGGCCAACTTGTAAAGGAAGAAAAATGATATTCAAGTAAAAACCTTCTACTGTATAATAATTTCATAATACATGAAATGCCATATTTCAAACTGAAATGATATTTTCAGACATACCTTACACAGAGATGATACTTTCAATTAATTTTAAAGTAGCTGCCTCCAAGTAAACCCCAAGTTTAAAATATGAAATGTACTTGTTTGTGTGCTTGTTTTTTTGTTTTGTTTTTTCAAAAAACGTGTGTCTTTGAATGAAATATTATGAAAAAAAAAGAAAAAGGATTGTTGGAAGAAGTACTCAGAAGATTAAGTACATTATATTAAAATAGTTTTGAATACACAACTGAGCAAGCCATGTGACAACTACATCTTATATAAAGTTATGGTGGAGTGGTATGTATCAGAACTACATTTTGACACTGGCATTTTGTCAGTAGCATGATGCCACTGAAAACTGGTTGCTTTTGGGAATGGTATACAACTACCCTTTACAATGCAAAATATTCATACACTCAAATTATAAAAATTTGTTTAGACTGGGAATATCCCTTGTTCTTGATGGCATTGAAACAAAAGGAATATGGATCAACTTAGAACACCAGGACTATCCAGAAAGATACAAATGTGGTATCTGGTAATAGGTAAGAATCCATAAACACAAAGATCAGTGGCAAAAGCCATCTATGTATCCCAGGCAATAGAAAACAACTTAATAAAAAGGATCTTCATCTGGAAAAGCAACACAAGTCATATGTGCAAAAGCTGCTTCCATGACACATCCATTCAAATGTTGCATACCTCAAACAGCTAGTGAATGAAATAGATATTCTTGATATTCCATATAAAGACATGCCAGTCAAGTTATTGGATGCAGTGTCTATGGATTTCTTTGTGATCAGAGTCATGAAAAGGGCATTGAAAAACAGCCTGTTGATAAAACAAAATCTACAGATTATGAATGAAAGTCCAAGCCTCAACAAAGATTCCAACTCTTTCCCCCTTGCTTGTTTTTTCAAACAGCTTTCTTTTTTTTTTGATATTGAAGATTATATTATTTCCTAACACTATTCATTGTATTTTTATATTAGTAATTATACTAAAGACTGTTCCCTCCATTACTACCATAGATCTGCTGAAGATGGAATATGTGTAATTCCAAAACATTCTTTAAAGATATTTACAACTGCTGCCCTTGCTCTACTATTCATTATTACCCTTCAGGTAGGGGTGATGCACAAGAGTCTTACAATGGAGCCTTTTTCAGTGGAAACTATTAATGGTTGGAGACGGCTTGAAT